TTTTTTTTTTTTGGTGACAAAGCTAGAATTTGAATTGTTTTCGTCAATGGTTATCCTGACACGGCAGTGTGTTGTTCAGTGGCAAACGACATGCTGTATCCATAATTTAATTTTTAAATGGTTAATTTTGTTTTATATTAGTGGAAGTTGGAGGATAAGGTGTAGTATCGGTTGTCTTGGTTGACCATTCTCCTGCATTCTTCAGGTACAACTCCAAGAGGAGACACTGGAGGAGGACTAAGCTGGGTCTGTAAACATGACGTTCTGCAGAATCCATTCTCCTCCATTCTATCAAAGGACCTCCAGCTACCAGGAAGGAGAGGCTCAATGTGGTAGAGCCACAGTTGTTTTGTACACAGTCTGGTTCTACGTTCATGTTTGAAAATAAAAGATCTGTGATCAAACAAATACTTGATGTACACATAATTTGTTTTCATTTTGGTTTATTCAGCACAGAATGAATGGCACTTGGCAATTATAGTCAAGAGCAAAATGAGATATTTCTTACTTTTTAATAAATCTTTCATCGGGAGGAGTAAAGAAAAACAGCAAAATGAAAAGCAGTCATGTTTTTTTTTTTTCCAATCTACCCACACCACAAATGTTTGTATTTGTAGCTCATGTTTGCTTGTCTCTGCCAAATATAACCCTGGCATTCAAGATGGAAAAATAACGTAGGCTACCGAGAGTGCTGTTTGCATGTCAAATATTGTAATTGGAACAACCCAAGGTCCAAAGCACTTTCAAGGGAATGAAAGCACAGTATTGACAGAAAATGTCAGCGTCTACTGGTGCGAAACGAAAAGAACCTTCTCATCTTGTATTTGTAGCTCATGTTTGCTTGTCTCTGCCAAATATAACCCTGGCATTCAAGATGGAAAAATAACGTAGGCTACCGAGAGTGCTGTTTGCATGTCAAATATTGTAATTGGAACAACCCAAGGTCCAAAGCACTTTCAAGGGAATGAAAGCACAGTATTGACAGAAAATGTCAGCGTCTACTGGTGCGAAATGAAAAGAACCTTCTCATGGAACCAAACCTCCAATTGCCTCCTCTCCTGCTGCTGTCAAACGAGTCCACCTCATCTGTCAAAGCCTCCACGTCCTCCCCGGGCGTGACTGTTACGTAGCCTCCGCTGTTGTTACAGTTCTTATTGGCGTTGGGTTCCGCCCTGCGGGCGTGCTCGTCGTCCCACGTCCCAAGCAGCTCCTTCATCTCCCGGGGGGCGTCCGGCGCCAAATACTGCCAAGCGCGTCTGCCCCCGTAGTCCATGACATCCACGTCGGCACCGAACGCGCCCACGAGGAGCTTGACAACCGCGTAATGGCCGTGCATGCTGGCGACGTGCAGCGGAGTGAGGCCACCGCTCCCCCGCACATCTACGCTCACTGGCTGTCCTCCGGCTTTCTCGGCTCGGTGGAGCAGCTTGAGCAACGTCTCATCTCGGCCGGTCTTGGCCAGCCAGTGGAGCACCGAGTAGCCACTGATGAAGTCCCGCCTGGTGAGCAGCAGCGGTTCCTCGGACACGAACTCCAGCAGGGTGTCACAATTGCCCTCCACGGCTGACAGCATCCACACGTGCTCCATTGGGTACAGAGCCAACCCTAACCCTGCCTGGGACAACTTTTTAGTGGATTTCTTGCGCTGGGCAGATGCGTCCGCGACCGAGTCGTCTTGCCGCCTCTGAAGCAACCGCGACCTCCGCTGGGGAGCACCGGGCATGAGCGACGTGCCATACCGGGAGAGTCGGTCCACAACGGCGCTTTGTGTCCATTCTCTGTCCGGGTGGGCGTCAGGGGTGGTATGCGGCCCAGTCGAGCTGCCCTCATCCATGGTACTGCTGTTCCGGTAATTTTGGATGACAGCCCGACTAATTTAAATGTCAAATTTGAACGAGTTTCCTTCTCACAAAAATCGCGCTGTATCCTGCCACTGGGTTTCTCTCCATTTTAGACGTTAGAACAGTCTCCATTTTGAATGTCAAAAACAGTTCGCATACTCGTCTTGGTCGTTAACGTGACTCACCTGCTCGACTTTTATTTTGGTCACTGACGTTGGTTTGAAAGAATCCACGTGTATGTACGGCTGCTCATTTCTATTGCAATTTCAAACCACTGATTTTAAAATAAAAGAAATTGAAGCGATTAGTTATTGCTTACTTTTCCCCACTTCACAGAGGAACTGAGCCAAAGTTCATAGTAATCTCAAAAAAGGGAGTGTGTCATGTGACCACTGATGATTGCAAAACCAGGAAGTGCACATTTATTTTTATTGCGCTGCTTTAAAGTGACAATATGCAGATACATAGCAATGATTTAAAACTGTAAAACATTCCAATTCAAAGAAAGAAATAGTATGAAGAGTAGAAAGCTGTATTTGAACATATTTCAGTCAGTGCCAGGCTCAGGGGGAAGCTCAATGATCAGTTCGTCAATCGTTTGGAGGAAGGCGTCAAACTCTGTGCAGCCATCTGAAAGAAATTAATGCGTTACATCAAAGTAGCTGTGGATTGAGCCACTTCTAAGGCACGCATCTCAGGCATTCTGAGCTCACAATACAGTGCAACCTCTAAAGTGAGTTTGAGCACTTCAAGTCTCATTTGTTAATCAAAATGGGGTATATGATCAACAGATTTGTTACCCGAGCGTTGTGGCATTCTCTCAGGTGACAGGCTTAGGAGTGGAGGCACATAATTATATTGGTCTTTTTCTGAGAGAGGAGGCCTTTGGTGGAAAGCCAGACCAGCCAGAGCGAGACTACCGAGAGGAATTAAATCCTCAGGAATGCAGTATTTCTCAAACTCTGAAAGGGGGAGTGTGAAACCGATTAAAAGCAAATAAGACTGATTTTAATCCATTCTAAACGGTCTTGATGAAGACAATTACCCATAGGATCATAGGGGATCATTTTCTCAATCTCTGGGTAGTCCTCTTTCTTCTGAGCTTCATGCTTGAGTTTGGCTTCCTGTTGGGTGCAACAAAAACACTTAATTGAATTGCATTTTGAATTGAATACAACTTTATTGTCAAATATGCTGTACGTATGTGTAACATACAGCACAGATGAAATTTCTTCCCTCTCAACATAAAACAAGACGAGCTGTTGTGGGTGTCCACGCCGCCATCAAAAGAAAAGTTAAAAAATGACAAAATAATTTTACTTCAACTTAAACATGCACTTTCAATAAAATTAAGGTTGCAAAGTTTCAGGAATCTTTAGAGTTGTAAACATTCTAAGGGACTTTACAAAATTGAAGGTTGGCACTTGATAGGGATGTCTTGTCCAGGGAAACCAAGACAACGCAAGTCTTTGCTCAATGAGATTTATTCCAGCTACAGTTGGAGAAACACCATTCACATATCTGTCATGGAGCGGCTCCCCAAACGGTGGGGTGCAGCCCTTATACCCTTTTTTCTTCTAGGGAGGGATTGAAGAGTAAAACAAAACGGAAACATGTTACTAATACTTATGTTAAACAATACATTCTGATTAATCTAATTACACCAACACAATAGAGTTAGTGAAATTTAATTAATGCACACGTTGTCATCCAAATATATAATATATATAATAAACCTGACAAACCACCACCTTTCATGCAAATCAAGTTGTCCCTTGACTGCAAGAGTGCCCCAATTTACCAGTTTGCCAGTAAGGATCCATCACTTAGTCAACTTTGGCTTGATGCCGCATGCCCAAATTTGACTTCACAGTGAATGATTGTAATGCCCTTGTGTGTGGGGTAGAAGACCTGTCCATTTTGCATCTGATCCCAAAAATATTTATCCTTTAATGACACCATCCCATGAAATGTACCCTCAATTCCTAGTTAGCCTTCCCATTATTGGTGGAGGATAGGAACTCATCTCTACCATAAAGAGCGAAAAGCCATGAGACACTGATGCCCCCCATAAAAAGGTTTGATTGGCTATAAATGTCAAGACCATGGCAAAGCAGTTTTCTAAAAACTCAACTTCAGTTACTTGGCACCAAGATGACAGATTTTTGCAACACTGGCATACAGAAAATTGAGTTTTATTTCCTCTTGTTGCAGTCTACAGTCTTCGGTGAGAGGAACATTAAGTTTCCAATGATCATTACGAGTGCACCAGGATGCAGAAATTGTCATTTCGCGATCACATAGTGTATGATGTCACTTGCACCGGCTGCCGGAGCTAAAATTTGAAAGTGAACAACTAACTAACAGCAGCTAGTTTGCCTGTTTGGGCACTCCAAATTGTCCCTACTTTTTGGAATAAATTGAAGCGACACATTTTTTTTTTTTTTTTTTTAAATCTAATGTCCGTTTGGGAGACAAAAGGGCCAGCTCTTTTAAGTAATCTTAGCCAGAAAAATAAAGCCTTTTAAATTAACAGCTGGACTCCCTGACAAAGGTTTGTGTGCCGAAATGCAAATGTTTGTCTTTTTTTTTAGGGTTTAAGACACATATGTAAAAGTGCCGGCCGGCGGGCCAAATCCGGCCCGCGAGAATGTTTTCAGTGGCCCCTGGGATGATATTGATTTATTATTAGAACCG